TGTTTGAGGCCTTTCCCCATTGGAAAAAAATCAGGTTAACTCTCTTATTATTGAGTTTTAAGAGCTCTTTGTGTCTTCTGGATAACAGTCCTTTATCAGATGTGCCTTTGGCAAATATTTTCTCCCAGTCTGTGGCTTCTCTTCTCATTCTCTTGACAGCATCTTTCTCAGAGCAGGAAATTTTAATTTTAACAAGTTCCAGGGTATCGTTACTTCTTGGATGGATCATGCCTTTCGTGTATTTTAAAAGGTCATAAGATACTCAAGTTCATCTAGATTTTCTCTTGTGTTATATTTCAGGAATTTTGTAGGTTTGCATTTTATATTTAGGTTTATGACTCACTTTAATTTTCGTGAAGGGTTAATTTTTGTGAAGGGTGTAAGGTTTGTGTCTAAATTCTTTTTTTTTGCATGTGGATGTCCATTTGCCCAACACCATTTATTGAAAAGTCTATCTTTGTCTTGTATTGCTTCTGCTCCTTTGTCTGAGATCAGTTGACTGTATTTGTGTGGGTCTATTTCTGGGCTCTCTATTCTGTTCCACTAATGTATTTGCCAGCACCACATGTCTTGATTACTGTAGCTTTATGGTAAGTCTTGAAGTTGGGTAATGTCAGTCTTCCAACTTTGTTGTTCTCTTTAATATGTTAGCTATTCTGGGTTTTTTGCCTCCCCATATAAACTTTAGAATTGGTTTGTCAGTTTCCACAGAATAACTTGCTGGGACTTGGATTGGGGCTGCACTGAATGGAGAGATCAGTTGGAAGCACTGACATCTTGATAATATTGAGTCTTCCTGTCCGTGAAGGTGGAATATGCCTCCATTTATTTAGTTCTTTGATTTCTTTTATCAGAGTTTTGTAATTTTCTTCATATAGATTCTGCACATATTTTGTTAGATTCATATCTAAGCATTTCATTTTGGGGGGGTGCTAATGTAAATGGTGTGGAGTTTTTTTTATGTCAAATTCTACTCGTTTATTGCTGGTATATAGGAAAGCAATTGACTTTTGTATAGTAATCTTGTGTCTTGCAATCTTGCTGTAATTGCTTATTCTAGGTTTTGTTGTTGTTGTTGTTGTTGATTCTTTTGGATTTCTACTTAGATAATCATGTCATCTGTGCACAAAGACCGTTGTATTTCTTCCTTCCCATTCTGTGTACCTTTTGACTTAGTCAGTTTGGGCTGCTGTAACAAAACACCATGGACTGGGGGGGCTTAAGCAACATACATTTATTACTCACAGTTCTGGATCAGCTTGCCAGTGTGGTTGGGATCTTGGTGGGGGCCCTCTTCCTGGTTTACAGATGACTACTGTCTTGTATCCTCGGCTGGCAGAGTCCGAGAGAGAGGGGAAGCAAGCAGTCTCATGTCTAAGGGGACTAATTATCATGAGAGCTTCACCCTCATGACCAAATTCCCCCCCAAAGGCCTCAGCTCCAGATACCATCCCACTGGGGATCAGGGTTTCAACATATGAGCTTTGAGGGGATACAGGTATTCAGTCCATAGCATCTTGTATTTCCTTTTCTTGTTTTTTGCCTTGGCTAGGACTTCCAACAAGATGATGAAAAGGAATGGGGAGGGGGACGTCCTTGCCTTGTTCCTGATCTTAGTGGGAAAGTATCTAGTTTCTCTCCATTAAGTGTGATGTTGACTCTAGGTTTTCTGTAGATGTTCTTTATCAAGTTGAGGAGGTTCCCTATGCCTAGTTTGCGGACGGTTATTATTATTGTTTTATCATGGATAGGTGTTGGATTTTGTCAAATGTTTTTTCTGCATTTATTGATAAAATCATGTGATTTTTCTTCTTTAGCCTGTGGATGTGGTGGATTACATTAGTTAATGTTTGAATGTTGAGCTAGCCTTGCATACCTGGGATAAATCCCACTTGGTAATTCTTTTTATACACGGTTGGATACAATTTGTTAATTTTTAATTTTGCATCTGTGCTCATGATAGACATAGCTCCATAATTTTCTGTTTTTATAATATCTTTGTCCAGTTTTGGCATTTGGGTAATGCTGGCCTCAGAATGAGTTAGGGAGTATTCCCTCTGCTTCTATCTTCTGGAAGAGATTGTAGAAAATTGGAAGAATTTCTTCCTTAAATGTTTGATAGAATTAACCAGTGAACCTATCTGGGCCTGGTGCTTTCGCTTTGGGAAGGTTATTGATTATTGATATAGTTTCTTTAATAGATGCAGGCCTATTCATATTTCTTTTTGTGCGAGTTTTGGCAGATTGTGTCATTCAAGGAATTGATCCATTTCATCTAGATTATCAGATTTGAGGGCTTAGAGTTAGTAATAATATTCATTTATTATCCATATAATGTTCATTTATAGTGATATCTCCTCATTCATTTCTGTTATTAGCAATGCGTGTCTTCTCCCTCTTTTTCTCAATTAGCCTGATGAGAGGCTTATTGAGTCTATTGATCTTTTCAAAGAATCAGCTTTTAGTTTCATTGTTTTTCTCTACTGTTTTTCTATTTCCAATTTCATTCACTTCTGCCCTAATTTTTAAAAATTATTTCTTTTCTTCTGCTTACTTTGTATTTAATTTGCTCTTCTTTTTCTAGTTTCCTAAGGTGGAAGCTTAGATTTTTGATTTCAGATCTGCTTTTCTAATATATACATCTGATGCTATAAACTTCCCTTTAACCACTGCATCCCACAAATTTTGATAGATTGTATTTCATTTTCATTTAGTTCAAAGTATTTTTAAGTCTCCCTTGAGATTTATTCTTTCACCTATGTGTTATTTAGGAGTGTGTTGTTTAACTTCCACATATTCTGGGATTTTCCACCTATTTCTGTTGATTGATTTCTAGTTTAATTCTATTTTGGTCTGAGAGCATATAGAATATGTTGAAATTTGTGAGGGTATGTTTTATGACCCAGAATGTGGTCTATCTTGGTGAATATTCCATGTGAGCTTGAAAAAAAATGTACGTTCTGCAGTTGCTAGATGAAGTCGTCTATAGATGCTAATTCAATCCATTTGGTTGATGGTACTGCTGAGTTCACCTATGTTCTTACTGATTTTCTTCCTGCTGGATCTGTCTATTTCTGTTAGAGGGGAGTTGAAGTCTCCAAATATAATAGTGGATTCATCTATTTCAACTCACAGTTCTACTGGCTTTTGCCTTATATATTTTGACACTGTTGTTAGGTGCATACACATTAAGGATTGTTATATCTTCCTCAATAATTGACCTTTTATCATGTAGTGCCTCTCTTTGTCCCTCAAAAATTTTCCTTGCTCTGAAGTCTGCTCTATCTGAAATTAGTATAGACTCTGATAAAACCCCAATAGGTTAGGCTTTGGTAAAATAGTTTCTCTTAAGGGCAGGCCTTGTTAAGGAAAACAGAATATTCTGGCATATTTCAAAATGGTTACTTCCCTTCCCACTGTGAGAAGCATGAGGATTTTTTTTCTCTGATTTTCACTGTGAGGACCTTGTAGAGCTTTAGAAGGTAAAACTCACAAAGGTGTGGGACCCCACCCCCCCCATGACTGGGTCCCCCTAGGGTTTTTAACTCTATATACTTGTCCACACTGAGCCTCCACCAATTTGTTGATTACAGTTCAGCTTGTCCTATTCTGGTACTGTTTCCCAAGAAGGTGGGTTCTTCTTTGGCAAGTTGTGATTCTCTGCATTCACCAGTCTGTCTTTCCAATTTTGGGGAGGGCCGTTTGTCCTGCAACCTCACTTCCCTTGTGGATCTAAGAGGAGTTGTTGAATTTTCAGCTTGTTCACCTTTTTACTTGTCATTGGATGCACTGGTGACTTCCAAGCTCCTTACATGCTGGACTGGAAACTGGGCACATTGTTGCTCAGCCACAGACTACATCTCCCAGCCTCCCTTGCAGCTAGGCATGGCCAATGGGTTGTGAGTAGAAGCCTTGTGAGCCAGAGTGCCTTTCCTTCCCTTTCCCTCTCCTCCTTCCTGTGGGTTGGAAGGCAGATGCAGTGCTGATGAATTGGCTTCCACTGTGCAAGGGAGGATATGACTCCAGGGAATGCCAAAGCAACAAAGTGGAATGGATCCCTGGATCCCTGGGTGACCACATAGAGCAGAGCCGCTCTGCCAACCAGGACCATTCACCTCTGAACTCTACAGCAGGGACATTAAGTTATATCTTATTTGACCCAGAGTATTTTGGGGTCTCTTTATCAAGGCAGTTTAGCTTGTACCATAACTAGTCCAGACCCCAAACCCTTAGCGAGCCCAGAGCTTCCTAGCCAGAGACAGCTGGCTGTGGTAGAAAACTGCAAGAGATGTGGGCAAAAAACAGGCCCCTCTCCAGGCTTGGATGCTGATTTGCTGTGTGATGCTGGGTATTTCCATATCCTAATCCACCTCAACTTGCTTCCAATGAGATGAGGGGCCTACAAGCATGGTGATGAACCACTGATGGTTGGACAGTTGCTAAGAAAAGATTTTAGTTAGGGAAATCTTGAGGATGAAGCTTAGTGTAGTTGTAACCTACAGGAGCCCTCTTTGCCTGTCTGAAGATTCCAGGTGCCTAGAGCTGGAGGGGCTCCAGGAATATCTCTTCTGGTCCCTCTTATTTTTTATTAACATACAGTGAAGTTGGCTTTTTTTGAGGGGAGCTTCCAGGTTTTTGAATCTTTTTCTATTTTCATTAAAAATTTTTAAAAAAATTTATTTTTTTTGAGTGAGAGAGAGAGCGAGAGAGAGCAGGTGGAGAGGGGCAGAGGGAGAGAGAATCTCAAGCAGACTCCCCGCTGAGTGTGGAGCCCTATGTGGGGCTCCATCCCACAATCCTGAAATCATGACCTGAGCCGAATTCAAGAGTCAGATGCTCAACCAACTGAGCCACCCAGGTGCCCCAAAGGTCTATGAATCTTTTTTTTTTTTTAAACTTATTTGAGCGAGAGTGAGTGAGAGAGAGAGCATAGAGGGAGAGGGAGAAGAAGACTCCCCACTGAGCTGGGAGTCCTGATGCAGGGCTTGATCCCAGGACCCTGGGATCACAACCTGAGCCAAAGGCAGTCGTTTAACCGACTGAGCCACCCAGGCACCCCTCTATGAATCTTAACACATGTGTAGATTCCCGTGACTGACATCATGGTCAGGATATGGAATAGCTGACCCTTCTTACTGGGCAGGGGCACAGGTGGGCCTCACCTGGGTCATGCAGTCATTAGCAGCACAGCCAGAGGAGGAGGGCCTGGTGGGCTCAGGCTGAGCTGCGAGGAGCAAGCTGGGACAGCCCTCTCTGCTCAGACCAGCCTCCTCAGTGCCCAGTCCTGTCCACTGGCCCATGAGGAGTCCTGGGACCTTCTGAAAAAAGCCTGGCCCATCTGACAGGACCAAGGGTAGCGTGGCCCCTCTGGAATGGCCACTGGCCTTGGTCTCTTTCATTCCATTCCCAGAGGAACCATAGGGAGACTGGGGGCCTGTGTCACTCTGCTCAGGAGCATGCAGTGGCTCCCTGATGCCTCCCGCCCCCATCCAAGCTGCTGAGTGTCTGAGGCCAGACAAGTCAGGAATGCCAGTCAGGCATTGTCTGTCCCCAGTCCCTGCTGCCCTGCCCCAGAGTGCCCACTGCTCCCAAACTCCCCACTGGGTACCCCTTGATCCTCCTTCTCCCATGATCCCCTTCTGTGTCCCCTAGCTCTGGTTCCAGGCTCCTAGTGCCCCCTTCCTCCTACAGTCCTGCAGCTGCCTCTTCTTCACTCCCCTCCATCTACCCTCCATGAGGCAGCTCAGAATCCTCCAATGGCTCCCGACTGCCTATGGGAGCAAGTCCCAGATCCTCGTCTGCCATCGAGTCCCCCCATGACCTGCTACTGTCCCTCCAGGCACCTGCCCTCATCCCTTCAGTTCCCCTCTGTGGTGCATCCGTACTCCTTGGCTCAGATGAACTCCTCTTGGCTGGACTCTTGCAAATATTTTACCTTGATTTGGCACTGATTTCACCCATGTCACACTATTTGTCAGTGTATCTTTCTCTCCTACGAGATGTTAAGGTAGGTGAGACCAGGCAGCTTATCTTACTCCTTCCTGTGACCCCATGAAATCCAGTACCCACTATATGCTTGGGAAAGAGGTGTCCCAGGTACTGTACTAATGGGGGCCCTTTCTGGCACCACACTTTGCTCTTGCTGTTTCCTCACATTAAATGCCCTTCCCTCATCTCTCTGTTTGTCTAAATCCTACCACTCTTCTAGAGCTAGTTGAAGGGCAGCTTCCATCCAGAAGCTTGCAGTAACCACCCCCGCCTTGTGTTCCCCCAGCCCTGCCTGGTCTTCAACACTTCTGGGGGTGTGGGAATTCCCCAGTGGGCCAGGTGTGGCCTGGAGGTTGGGCACAGCAGTGAGAGGAAGGGGACAGTGCTGGGAGGGGAAAAGACCCCAGGAGACCAGGGAAGGGATTCTGGGCTGGGCTGTGTGAGAAAGTGGGCAGGGGAGGCAACAGCAGGTATGGGCTGATCCAGCAGCCCCAGGGCTTGAATGTGAACTGTGGCAGCAGGAATGCAGGGGCTGCTGGGAGGAACTCAAGGAAAGGATGTCTGCCAGGCTCTGTTGTGGGAGGCTCTGGGGTTGAGCCCAGTCTCAGAAGGAGTCAGCATCTCCAGGGTTCTAAGGATGTGATGGTGGTTGGGCTAGCCATGGAAGCTCACCCGATGGTGGTCAGGCTGGTTATGGAACCTGGTCTGGTGGTGGTCAGGCTAATCTGGAGGTTAGTCTGATGGAAGTCAGGCTGACCAAGGTGCCCATAGGCTGGGCCAGTGACCTCAGCAGGAGATGAGGAGGGGGTTGGTGAGTGCAGGAGCTGTGGAGGCTGGTGCTGAGAGCTCTCTCCGCAGGAGTTCACAGCCAGCCAAAGCTTGGTGCAGGGCATCCAAGATGGCCGAGGGTCCAGATATCCCCTCTGGAAGGAAAGAATGGACAGTGAGGGCAGTTCAGTTTGCTCACTGTGGCCCACATAGCCACTCTTCCTCCTTTCTGGGGCCCTCCCCAGTCCTGCCCAGTCCTGCCCAGCTACCTCCCCCTCTTGTCTCTTTCTCACTGAGGATGCCAGAGAAGGTTTCTAACCTCCCTCTCAATTCCAGGGACCATTCAGGGCACTCGACCTACCTGAGCCTTGCCCAGCAATGCCCTGTGAGGCCAGCGAGCAAAGGCTCATCACCAGTTGGTTGCCTCATTAGCCTGTGAGGCCCTTTGAGGAGAAAGCTTGGCCTGGCTCCTCTTGACTTCACCAGCCACAATCTGGCACTGATGAAATCCTACTGCCCTGAACTTTGTCTAAATAATGGGGGCCATGTAACTTAGTGCTTAAGGGAGAGACCCAAGGCTCTGGTTACAGCTGGCACTTGGCCTTTCTCTGCTTCAGTCTCTCCATCTGTGGAATGGGTACAATAACAGCGCCTTCTCCAGTGGGCTGTTGTCATGACTCAGGGGGTTAAAACCACTTGAGGCGCCTCCACAGAGCCTGGCCCACACTCAGCCCAGTGTCTGAACTGACAGCAGAGAACCTTGCCTACCTCCCTTGGGGGTTTGACCACACCGGCTTCTGCTTAGCTCTTCTCCCTGGGACACTGAATAGCATTTTTAACTTTCTGAAGCCTGTTCCTGACTATGCACTTTGCGGGTGGTCAGGGCAGTCATGACAGTGACATTTTGCAAACAAGACACTCAGGACAGAGAGTGCTGGGCAGGCTGCTCTCCAGACGCTGTCCAGGCTCTGAAAGATGGGCGAGTTCTCCTACCGTGTGTGGGGTCCTTGCAAGCATCCAGTGTGTTCAGCAAAATCTTCCCCAGGGCTCTTTTCGATATGTTCTTAAAAAGAAATGGAGACAGGGCTGGACTGTACTGTGGCTGCCACGTCCCCATTCAGCAGGTGGGACTTGGTGGCCCCTAAAGGCTTCTGTAAGGCTCCCTGGGTGCACAGAGTTATTACCCCCCATCCCTTCCTGGGCCCCTACCCTTAGCCGGCTGGCCACACTGCTTGATGGGCTTCCCAAAGACTTTTGGTGCGTGGATAGTGTGGGGTGCAGCATCCTTTCCATCAAAGATCACATATTTATGGATTACCATTTATGTGCCAAAGTAGAAGTTGGCACTTTGGAAATAAACATGAATAAGAGCATTTTTATGCATTAGCTCATTTAATCTTTGCAACAACTGATATTATTAGGCTCACTTTAACCAGTGAAGAAAAGCAGTGCTGAGAAAGAATGAGAAATTTGCCTAAAGCCACTCAGCTAGGAGGTGGAAGAACCAGCTTTTACCCCCAGGTTGCACGGCCTGGAGTTGTGGTGGTAAGCACCACCTTCGCTATCTGCTGGCACCGGCTGCCACTCAGCCATTCTCTCAGGCTGTGCTGCCCTGGCTTTGGCCTTGGTAGTTGTGTGTCCTAGGCAGTCTGGTGCATAGGCAAGAGCCCACTTAAAACCCAGGCAACCTGGGTTCAAATCCTACTTCCACCTTATAGGAGCTGTACTCCTAAGTTAATGGTTTCTCAAAAAAATATTTTTTTAATGGTTTGCTGATGTTATTTAGGAACACAATTGACTTCTGTGTTCTGATATTTTATTATTTACCTTGCCAAGAAATTACAATAATTTGCCTCTGGATTCTCTTGGGTATTCTATGTAGATGATATATAATCACTGATAGCTTTGTGTCTTCCTGTCTAATCCTTACACCTTTCCTTTCTTTTTCTTGTCTTACTGCATTGGCTAGAACCTCTAGTTGGCATACAAACATTGATGACATGCATGCTTGTCTTGATTCTCACTTTAGAAGCATTCCTTCTAACATTTCACCAGTAAGTGTGAGGTTTGTGAGAGGTAGTTGGCTGAGACTCCTTACCTGGTAAAGGAAGGTCCTTACTGTTCTTAATTTGCTGAAGGGTTTTATGATAAAAGGAGGCTGACTGACTTTTCTATATCTATTGAGATAAATACATGGTTTTTGTCCTTTAATCTGCAATGTGGCATATGATGTTAATAGATTTTTTAAATCTTGAATTATCTTCAGATTACTGGGATTAAATCCAAGTTGGTCGTGTTGCATTTCTTTAAACACTGCTGGATTTGGTTTGCTAATATCTTATTTAATATTTT